TGACCAAAAGCGTCTGTAACCTTTATCTGTATGAAAAAAGGAGCAATAAGAAGTGGTTTGACCATGATCTTGCAACTTGGTCATATTTCCAGAGAGACCTGAGGAGCGCATCATGTCTGGAGTCCATAGTATCCCGATAATTTCCAGAGTCGGAATGTGGACTTGGTAAATTCCAAGACAATACGCCGGTATCGCCAGTGAGCCTCGTTATTCTTAGCACCACACTACAGCTTTTCAAGAGATCAGTCTCTAGGTTTCCCTGCCAATAAGACCACCACTATACAACTAAAGGAAACCGCGATCATACAAAGGGCCACACTAGCTTGGTCTTCACACCTTCAAAGTGGCATAGGCTTCATGACAAATCAAGCATTTTTAAGGTTAGGGTAAGCTCAACTATTAGTAAAGCTTCATAACAAATGGACTAAAACAGTACGATACATGGAATTTGAAAGCATTTAACGATATTATCGGAAAGGTTTTATTTATTTGTAGGCCAGCCTCTTTCCATTGAATATTGGTCACAGAAAATTCTTGGTTTGAAACATTAAAAAATCTGCGGAATTGGGTTTTATTAAGTAAATTCAGAAACTATAAAGATGAATTGCTTCTATTATTTGAGGCAGGTATGTGCATTCAAACTTCCCAAATTTCTTCTGATCAAACTCATCTACTGAACACAGGCCAGCAGAAAAGTTCTATATGGTCGTACCAGGGCTAATCCACCGTTTTCTTTGACGAAGCCAGCCTCCAGATCGTATTTACACATATAACTTAAGTCATAGTATCAAACTCTAAGGCAAACTTTTAATAACCCCAGAGATTAATTTCGGAGGGCCAATCAATCGCTGAGCTGGGATAGGCTTGGCTTGCTTTTAGGGCTCAGATACTCACGATCCAGTAACATATTTCGATGAAGGTGCTGAAGAGACCTGGGCAAGGTTGAAACTGCAGTCCACTCTTGATGAAATAAGCTTTTTGGAAGCAAGGTTAGGTGAAATTCGATAGCATCTTGAACCCTATTCATTGTAGAATGAAATTCAGCCATCAGTACCTAAATTAAGATAAGCGACGTAGGGTGATTAGGTTCTTATCCAAGAATTACTGATAGTTTGAAACCTATTTATATCAAAAATTACAACAGTAATAATCGCGAAAGATGGCAGAAATATTAGCCGCGATCCAAAGTATGGATGCTGAGTATGCATATATAGATATATAAGTCGCTAGGATGTGGGGCCGAAATCAGTTCCCAAATGATTGTAAGATAAATAAACTCTTTTAGAGTGATTGTACTCAAATCTATTAGTAGCCAAGTCGTCGATAAAATCTGACATAGATGTGTGTACTGCAGCTGCTCTTCAACTAAGCCTAACTTTTTCTATCAGCCTAACCTTATTGGTGGCATTATGCCTTTGGATAGGTCTCTCATTCAACCCCAGTTAATTCTTTATTCAATATCTAAAACCTTATCTTTATCACATACACGCACGCAAACACATACTATTTACTTCGGTTCTTACTACATGAAAAATCTTTGTTTGACTGAGACTCTATGCTACCTGTCTGCAAATGAACTGTCGTCGAGTCAGGGAAACAAACGAAGTGCACAAGTGGCTGATTACGTGCTCACCATGTTGAAAGTGCTGCTCCACAGAAAAATAGCTCCAGATGAGTTCGCCTATTACCCGCACCGTATGACCGCGGATGCCATGCCAATAACGCCTGCTGATCTCGGCCAGTCTTTCGGTGGACTGGTGAAAGTTGGCTAGACTAGCCGCAATCGCATCACTTGAGGCACCAGCCTCAGCTTCGTGACACGCCAGGCGAGCGGCATGGCGTTGTATAACCCCGGTGATCACTGTCGCCGGAAAGCCGGCTAACAGCGAAGTCACCTGTCCAGCATAAGCAGACGCGCAGACGCGCAACTCATGTTCCACACCTGAGGGTAGGCGGCCGCTGAGCTGGGCGATTGCCTCCTAAAGTCCGAGGAAAATAAACGGATTTATGAGGAGAGAAAAATAAAAAAGCCATCTCAGACAACAGGGAGTTGTGAAATAAGGGTCAATAACTCTTGCCAAGTCAGCTAATCCGACCATCAACATTGGCTGCCGCACATAAATGGCACTCAAGTGTCAACTCCGAAATACTGTATAGAGGAGCTAGTTTTGTCTTACATCATTCCTGTATATATGCCAAGTAATTATTGAGAAGATAATTGACTCAATCGTAAGTTCAAAAGACCAATATTTAGGATAATGAAGACCATACTAGCAAAACGGTCTCTAGGATTTGTTGATTAGAAGATCAGATCAAGAGCACTTTTTCAGTGGCGTAGTGGTCAACACGTCGAGATTATATGCCGCACTATAACAATTCGCCTCCCACTGGGAATGCTGACCAGACTTTGGTGAGGTCGAAACTGCAGTCCATTCTAGTATGGATGATAATACCTTTTGGGAAAGTAATGCTATGTAAAGTTCAATGGAAACGTAAGGCCTATTTATATGATTGTTGGAAAATTTAACTACCACCTTAAACGAAAATGGCTGAATACATATCAGACATATATAAAAATATGACCTGCTGATAGTCTCTAAAACCCAAGTATAAATGAACAAATAATAAGTAAGATAACTTCGCAGAAAAGCTATGCCAATCTCTTTAGATTTTTTATCAATGCCTGCACATTTAGGTAATACAGAATAACTCGAGCCAATAAGCACATTAACCTCATTAAATAGCTGCAGTCAGACTTCGATAAATCATAACAAAAATACCTAAACCAAAGCGACAGCAGGAGCGAGCAAAAATTGATTCGACTATGGTCCAGAGAAAATAAATATAATTACCCTGCTTTACACCACTAAGTGCATACCTGTAACTCGAGCAGTGGTAGACGGGGGTCTCGGAGGCATTTCATTAAGCGATCTATGCGGCTTCGCAACCAGGACGTAAAGTATGGTTCTGGCAAAGCATAGCCCTGCAATACTTGCTCCAATTCTGCCCTCATCAGCCAGAACACGTGGTGGAGTTTGCCTTCACTCGAGTCAAGCTCATGTGAGTCAGAAGAATGAGTATGGCTTAGAGGTACGCCGGGGAATGTCGTCTCCAAAGCGAATGGGAACGAAGAGGATCGCGGTTGGATAGAGGGAAAGAGAGGGAGGCTGACATGGAAAATAATATAAAGATATTTTAAAAAGGTTAATGCCAAATAGAGGATGTAACGCTTACATAAGCGTGAGATAGTAGAGCTATTCCAAGCCAGCCCATCTGTAAATGCTCTTGGAAAGTCATACACATAATGGTAAAAAATGGCATAGACTAGATTAAGAGAATAAGGAGAATAAATGAGGTGCCGAGAGCAGAAGCAAAAATGACGGCTTCTCAGTTTCAAACGAGTAAAATAAAATATGTATAGAAATTGGAGAACAGAAACAAAGTGATCAACTTTTATGACTTGCTAAAAATCTCTAAGACTATCAATAAATATAATTTTGCTCGCGTGTTGTACCTGGGGAATGAGATAGAATGTAATATATACTCTTAGCCTGAGCAACTGACAAAAAAAGAAAATAGTTGTTTCGACTTCGATATGTTCACGCATGTTGAGTGACTTCAGATAAAGAGCCAAACATATGACCATAGAGATATAATATGTATTACGATGCACAGCAAAAGTGATAAAAAGAAGACGTTAAAACAAGTCATACATTGTCAAACGCGATTTCGGTCTCTTACCTACGAAAGATTCGAAACGTTGGATTATTCAGATGGGTCTTAATGCAACCGATATCTAGAGTACAAATGTACAGATCAAGCAGATCTAATAATGCTCTAATCTTAGCAAGCCATTTCTTTGTGGACGAATCAACGAACTCTAGCTGACTGGGCGCTACTTCAATCTTTAAGGTCTATTGTTGTTTGCCAATAGCACCTTTGAAATAGGAACAAAAATAACAACATGCAACCTTAGATCAGAACGGTGGTAAAAACCAGTGTCATGAGACATAAACATCGAATGGAAGAAGGTGAACCAATTAGCCCAATTAACACCACATTCGACAAGACAACAAAGCAATTCTATAGATAAGGCTAAAAGGAAGGACGAAAAATAGCGTTTGCAAATTCTTCATCCTTCATAACAATAGACTGGAAAATAACTAATCGAAAATTATTAACCAAAGACCTTTCTTGAAAAATAATGCATGATAAACAAGTGTTGATGAGGTAACCATTTCGAGCATGCAAACCTTATATGATGACTTACGTATAGTATGCGATTCCTGAAGATGAAAATAAGATGATAAGTAAAAATGATTCGATCGCCACGAGTTTGGGACCTTGCTGAGAAAATAGGTCTACTAAGATGGAGCAGAAATGACAACTTCTCACCGGATCCGCCTAGCTATCTGACCATTTCATCATATCAAGGGCTAATCATTAAACAATTATGATGTTCTGATGCGTGTAGTTTATTAAGAAATTGTCTTAAATTATACTTTCCTTATAAAATTTCTTCTATATTAAATGTATTATGGGTAGTTTAAATGTCATTGCCTGCCTCATCGTATAAAAGAAGACGAGATTCATAAACTATCCTTGAGAGGTGGAAAACTATACTGAAAAAGCTAAAGTTTAACCAAGAAAATCCATCAAGTGTGTTGTTTCAATTGGTTGAAAAAAGAACTATAAAATTATTTATGCCAACTGTGCAAATATGGTGGCTACAAATTAGCAAATTAGATTTATTAAGTAAAGGGGATTGAGTGATAAGAAGATGAATGTACTTGATTCAAGAAGAAATAGTAACAAATTTTCATTCTTCAATTTCATAAGGTTAACGTAATAAAATGAAAATTAGTATAGAGCAATTCGAAACAGATTGTAAAATAGCTTAGCACAAGTAAGAAGAGGTGATTCATGCTATATACTCTTGGGGAGTTTGATTTAGTAGAAGGAACTTGTAATGCAACAAGAAACAATAATGGAAGTCAAGGACAAAGACTGTATCTGTTTACCTAATGAAAGGTTTATTGATATGCACTGTAAATGTTGAATGGAATTATATAGTATCTCTGGCAATGAGTATAAAAGTCTCACCTGTAAACCTGAACTTGCTTCAAGGTGCTCGGATCATCTAGCAGAAGTCGAGCAACCTCTGTCCCAGGCTCAAGGATAGCACCGGGACCACGACGATGCTTGAGTATGCCGGAAGCAGATACCCGCAGCTCTAAAATAAGCTTCATCACTTCGATGAGAGCGTAAACTTCATTGGCGAACAGGTGGCCACCGTCAGGAACTGTGAACTGGACTAGCTTTCCAGTAGAAGGCGAACTGAGAAAAAGAGATAATTAAAATTGGAATGAAAAAATTATGATAATGAAAGCACCTTGAACGAAGGCGAGCAGTAGGTTTATTCAGGTATT